CTTCGCTCTTTGCCAATGCACGCAGCGTCTCGTTTCCGATTGTGCATGACGACGCGATAAAGGGTTCTTCTAGGAATTCCAGGTCCGGTGCGACACGCGTCCTCGGATAGAGTGGATGTCAACGCCATGGAAGGGTTGGTGGGAGGGGTAGGATGTCAGCTATCGCGCGAACGCACCTAGCTCGTCCTATCTTCTCATCTCTCCTCACTCTCCTCCTCTAGCCTCCTCCGCCTCCTCCTCCTCCTCCTCATCCTCCTCTTGTCCTCATCTCCCTACTCCCCATCCTCACGAGGGAGGGGGGGCAGAAAAGGGGGTACATCCCAGAACTCCCCTTGCATCTTTCCTCTCTCGTCTCTCCGCTCCCATGGCTTTGGATCCGCCGTGCTTTAATTACTTTTCCGACTTCAGAGCGTGTCGCACATGTTTTTCAGACGATGCGAACACGTATGGTGGACATGTCTGCCTCTGAGAAGTCGGGCGGATATCTCCGCGAGAGTCTTGCGGAACCAGCGACGGCAAGGTAGGGCAGAATTCGGCGTCAATGGAGCTTCACAGCCAGGGCGGGAATCTCAGCCCCACTTACTCGCCCAAATAATGCGGTCGCTCCGGAGTCCCGGTCTTCGGTTGCTCCTGGTGGGTGCTGCTCCCTTGCGCCCCCTGGCAGTACCCAGCCAGACTCTCGCCGCTCGCGCTTGCTGTTTTCTCGCATACGGGATTTCACAAGGTGACGTGCTTTTGATGCTGTTGTTCCTGTCGGGCCGTCCTTGGCCCTTCAAGACAGTGATAGTGCTCTCGCTGCAGCACTGGCTTGACGTCTTGTTGGGGGACGGGGGGCTTACGTCGCTCGGAGTGCTGTCGCCCCAGCAGGGTTCGCATTTCAAGACCCGAGTCCGTTCCTTGTCTTTTCTGCCATCTGCTGCCCCCTGCTCTGTCTCTCCTTGCCCCCTTCCTGCGTCTCCTCTTCCTTTTCCTCCGTATCCTTCTCCTGCCCCCCCTCCTTTGCGCAAGAGGTTCCCGTCGCCGATTGTGCCGCAAACGCAAACGATGGGTCAGATGGGTCAGTCCCTGCGACCGCCGTTTGAGGATGACGATCTTCGAGGGCACCTAGCTCGTCCAGCGCAATGAGAGGAGACGGCTTGAAGGGATTAGTTGAACGTCAGATGTGGCGCGAGCGCACATGGCGTGCCTCTCCACTCATTCTCCTCTTCCTCCTTCTTTTCCTCCTCCTCCTCCTCATCCTCCTCATCCTCCCCCTCCTGCGCTTCCTTCTCGCCTGTACCCCCCTACCCTCTGTGCCTTCCCTTCGTGCCCTTCCACCCGCACCCCCGTACCCCCCCCTCCCCCTCCCCCTCCCCATGCCTCACCCCTCCTCCTGCGCCCGAGCAGCTGTGCCCCCCTGCTGCTCCGCCCCGCAGCGTTGACGGTGGAGTCGTTGTCGCCGCCGCCGCCGCCGCCGCCGCCGTCGGAGTCGTTGAGACTTCGTCGTCGCCGACGTCGTCGCCGCCCCCAGCGCTGGCGTCTGCGTCGACACCGCCGTCGTTTTTGTAATGAGTGGTCGTCGTCGGCGTCGTCGTCGGCGTGGTCGTCGTTTTCACTGGCATTCTCATGCGCGCGCGCTGGAATGCCGCGCGCTGCGGCACAGGTCGAGGACAGGTCTGGCGCGCGCAAGCACTCCGCGCGCCTCCTGGCGGACCGCCGCGGGGCAGCCGTCGCCGAGCTGGGGTCTAGGAGGGGTGGGGACTTCGAGGCAGGGGGGGGAGGGGGGGAAGGGTCTAGGAGGGGGGAGAGTAGGGTCTAGGAGGGGGGGTCTAGGAGGGGGGGAGAGATCTAGGAGGGGGGGAGAGGGGGTCTGGGAGGGGTCCAGGAGGGGTCCAGGAGGGGGAAAGGGATGGAGGTGGATGGGGCGAGGCGGAGGAAGAAGGAGAAGGGCAGAGGAGGGATGTTGGTCCTGAATTGTACCTCGAGGCCCCCATGCGGCATCGCCCGTTGCTCGGGGGCTGGCGAAAGAAGAATCAAGCGTAGTATCCGTAAGCCGTCTCGGGCTCAGTTCCGCCTTGTGTCTCTTAGCCCTCTCGGGCTCAGTTGCGCCAGTTGCCGAGACACGTTGGACGGCCGGATTGTGTGTGTATATATATATATATATATATATCCTTGGGGGCGAGGCCGGGGGCCCCAGGACAGGTGCCCCCACCCCCCCTGGGGGGACGGGGGCTCATTTTCCCTGTGTTTTCAAAGGGTTTCCGCGTCCTGGGCCTCGGAGGCCGCCGCCTCCAACCGCCCATGGGAGGACGGGGCGGCCGGGGAGGTCCAAAATAGTCCAGGAGGGCATCCAGAGGCTCCCAAGACGGCCCAAGCGGGCCCCGAGTCGCCGAAAGACCGCTCCAGGACGCCCAAGATAGGCTTAAGACAACCCGAGAGGCCCCCCAAGGCACTCCACGACGCTTCAAGACGCCTCTCCAAAGCGCTTCAAGAGGCCGAAATCGTTTATTTTACGAAGGTTTTGGACACATGTTGCTTTTCCCGCCTTCTCAGCTTTCCGACGCTCCACGACGGCTCAAAGACCCCCCCCCCGGACGCCCCAAGAGAGCCCACGAGGCCTCCAAAAGGGGCTCAAGACGGCTCTGGAGGGCCCCAAGACGGCCCAAAACGCGCTCAAGACGGGCGAAGAGAGCCCCAAGACGGCCCAAGCGGGCCCCAAGTCGCCGAAAGACCGCTCCAGGACGCCCAAGATAGGCCCAAGACGGCCCGAGAGGCCCCCCAAGGCACTCCACGACGCTTCAAGACGCTTCTCCAGAGCGCTTCAAGAGGCCGAAATCGTCAAAAATACAGAGGTTTTCGAACGATTTTGGCCTTCCAGCCTTTTCGGCTCCCCAGAGTCGCCCAAGACAGCCCAGCAGAGCCCAAAGACGGCCCCAAGATGCGTCCAAGACGGGGACCACGACTCCAAGATTCGACCCTCCGACTTGAAGAGTGCCCCAGGAGGCCCCAAGGAGCCCCCAAGAGGCCCCAAAGAGGCCCCCAAGAGGCACCCAGGAGGCCCAAACGAGGCCTAAAGAGGCCACAAAACAGCCCCGAGGAGGCCCCACAACGGTCCCAAAACGGCTACCGAGAAACTGCGAAACTGCCTTCACGACGTCCCCGACAGGCCAACCACGAGATCCAAACCAACACCCATGAGGCCTCTGACCCACCACCCAGGGCACGGTGGCGGGAGCAGTGACAGCACTTGTGCACAGCATGTTCCGGCGGGAGCCTTCCGGAACACGCTGCAGGAGGAGGAGGAAGATCAGGAGGAGAGAGAGCTGGAGTGGGAGGAGGAGGAGGAGGAGGGGGGCGAGGAGGAGGAAGAGGTCTCCAAGACAGCTCGAAGATAGCCGAAGAGGCTTACACGAGGGCCCTGGGCGGCCCACGAGGGCCCCAAGGCGGTGCGGCGCCAGGGCGCCTACCACGTGTTGAAGAGGAGCCGCCCTCGGTCCTGCCAGCGGCTGCAAACACCGACATCGGAAAGCACGCGGCGCTGGGGCGATAGTCACGTTTTGAAAACAAACAGCCGCCCCTCCATGCTTGAAGCTGCTGCGACTTGTCGATGATGCTCCGACCGATCCGCCTGTCCCTCTTCTGTGCGAGCTCGCGTTCACAATCGGGGAAGTCCGCGCTCTAACCTAAGCGCGCGCGAAGCGCGCGCGTGGTTCTAGTATATATATATATACACACACATGCATGTCCGGGTAAGGCTCGGGAGGCCCCAAACACGTGGCCTCTGGGTCCTCCATAGGGGTGCCGACCCTCCTGTCGCGTCCGAAATGGCCTTCACTTTCGGCCCAAGGGAGCCCCGCGAGCGCCGCATAGCCCACCAAGACGGCCCAAGAGGCACCGAAGACGGCTGAAGATATTTCTAAGACGCCCAAGAGAGGCCCAAGAGGGGCCCGAGATTGCGCAAGAGGCTCCGAGGCGGTCCAATACGGCCTCAAGACGGTTCACGAGGCTCACAGCACGCCCCAAACGACCCCCGAGAGTCAGCTTTGCCCAGGAGCAGTGAGTCATACATCAAATGCTTGTTTTTAATGTTTAGTTTCAGGGATCCTTGCAAGGTCTCTCGGGCCAGACCTCTTCAATGGCCCCAACCCGCGCGTCACGCTGGCCTCGCGTTCGCAATGCAATGGTTTCTAGCTGCGAAAAAAGGTCGCGCCAAAGTCGGGCGCCGCCTGGGCTTGGCAATGGTTGCCGCTGCTTGGCAGCTCTTTGCAGTGCTTCGCGTAGCTTGGCACTGCTTGGCATTTCTCAAGAAAGGACTCGGGCCCCCCCGCGGAATTCGAACACCCCAGAACAGGTCGGGAAAATTTCCAGGGGGAGGGAGCACGAGGAGGGAGCAGGAAGAGGAGGTCCACCAAATGGCGAAACATCGGAAAACCTACCGAGAGGGGCGGGGGGGGAGGATGAGGGGAAGGGAGGAGGAAGGGGAGGACCACGGCGTGGGACTCATGCCAAAAACGTCCGCACAGCGTCCCGGAGGGAACGAGGGAGGAGGAGAGAGGAATATTGCCCCAACGGATGCCGAACATGTGCATACAATCTTCGCGGCGGAGGGGGGAGGGAGGAGGAACAACAGGAGGGGCGCGTAAGAGGGGTGAGGATGAGGTCCCACGTGTGCCGCGCAAGTCCCGGAAAATCTCCACGAGGGAGGGAAAGAGGCAGAGGACGGATCAGGATGCAGGATGACGGCCAGGAGATCCCGAACATTGCAGAACATTTATCTTGACGGAAAGCGGAAATCGGGGAGGAGAAGGGGTGCGGCAATGAGGTAGAACAGATATCGGTGGCGTCCCAAATAAAGAAGCCTACAGGAGTGGGAAGGAGGAGGACGATGAGGGAGGAGGATGACGAGGGGGGAGGACGAAGAGGGAGGAGGACGACCGGGGAGGAGGAGGACGAGAGGGACGAGGAGGGAGGAGGACGACGACGACGGAGGATGAGGACAGAGGCCGACGACGGAGCAGGACGAGGAGGACGAGGAGGGAGGAGGGCGACGGGGGAGGAGGACGAGGGGGATGAGAACGAGGAGGGAGGGCGCAGAGAGGGCGTGACCCACAAAAGCTCCCGAGCATGCTGAAAGTTGCGCATGCCTCCATCAGACTTGGAGACGAGAAAAAAACAGCCATGACGTTTTTCGACCAGATGTTGGAGAAGGGAGCCGCTCCTGGTGCACACCTCATTCACAAGGCCGTAGCAATCAGTTTCTTCTAGCGCGTAGCTGAAAGTCTCGATGGCAAACGCATTCACATAGACGGATTGCGGCTTCTTGTTTTGGTTCGAGCTCATGGGATCAACCGTTCGTTTGATTTGCAGAACCGCTTGCTGGCTGCGTGGAAGGGTCGTCAGCTTGCGGAGAGTGTCGTGCATTATTTCGTATAGATGGTGAGCGATGGTGTCACCCTCAGCAAATGGGCATATCGTGCCATTGTTGTGGCCAACGAAGGTTCCGATCCAGAATTTGCTTTTGAAGGTTTGCAATGAGATTCAGGGATCAGGAATTCAGCTCTACCGGGCTGCATACAATGCGGTGTTGGATGTTCGTCTTCAGCTCGGCATGCACATCGACGCCCAAGAGTTGTTCATGAAATGGTTGACCATGCGGTGGCTCCCAATGAAAGATCTTATAGCATCATGATCAGGGTCTACTCGTTCATCGACCAACACGAGAAAGCCATTGCGATTCCCGAGACTATGTGGGAACACCTTTTCGAGCCCGACCATATCGACTACCATCATGCAGTCCGTTCTTGCATGCTGATCCAGCGTGTTGAATACGCCGTGAAACTGCACAAGGAGGTGATTCAGGCGACGTTGCCCTTGCTCGTGACCACGTGCGTCATTCTGAGCCGTGCGTAAACACATGTTGTCTGGAAGTGTTTGGCAAACAAGTTCGAAATGGAGTTGACACACACTAGCAAATTGCGGGTATGAAGGAAGTAGATGCCACGTGAAAATTTCAAGCGCAGCATGATGTCAAAGGTGATGTAGCAAACGAGCGGTCCAGGTAAAATGCAGCATGGTGGTCGTTGACATCCAGCATGGCGGCATGGCTGGTGCCAGACCCTCGTAATTCTGTAATTGTCGTTCGCGTAATGTCAGCCTTTCTCGTTTTCTGTGTCCAGCTGCCTGCGGCAAGTCCCGGTGATGGTGATGATGATGATGATGATGATGATGATGATGTCGCTGGTGATGGTGATGATGATGATGATGGTGATGGCGATGACGATGACGATGACGATGAGGATAATGATGATGCTGATGATGACGACGACCACGACGACGACGACTCCGACTACGACGACGATGATGATGAGGATGATGAGCATAATCATGATTCTGATGATGATAATGGGGATGGTGATTGTGATGATGATGACGACGATACTGACGATGATGGTGACGATGACGATGACGTTTTTTATGATGATGATCACGGTGGTGGTGGTGGTGGTGGTGATGATGCTGATGATGATGAAGACGATGATGCTGACGACGATGATGATATTGATGCTGACGATGCTGATGATGTTGCTGCTGCGGATGGTCCTTATGATGCTGGTAATTATTATGATAACGATAATGACGATGCTGATGCTGATGGTGATGTTGATGATGATGTTGATGATGATGATGATGGTAATGATGACGAATATGGCGATGATGATGCTGATGCTGGTGATGATGATGTTGATGATGATGGTGATTCTAATTAGGATGGTGATGATGATGATGACCATGCTTGTGATTGTGATGGTGCTGATGCTGATGCTGATGATGATGCTGATGCTGATGATGGTGATGATGATGATGATGATGATGATGATGATGATGATGATGATGATGATGATGATGATGATGATGACGATGATCGTTGGGATATTCTTTGGAGCCCTCTCGGGGTCTTATTAGAGGCTGTTTCGAGGCCTCTTGGGGGCCGTCTGGCGGCCTCTTGGAGGTCTGTTGGAGGCCTCTTGGGGCTCCTTGGAGGCCTCTTGGGGTCTCCTGGGGGCCTCTGTGGTTGGAAGGCTGGAATTTTCGGTCCGCGTTTCCGCTCTTTGCGTCCCTCTTGGCGCCGTCTTGGGCCTCTCTTGGGCTGATTTGGGCGCCTCGGGACTTTCTTGGGCCGTCTAGGGGCCCTCTTGCGGGCCTCTTGGGCCGTCTTGGGGCTGTTTTCGGGGCCCCTCGGGCCGTCTTGGAGCGACGGAAGCTCGAAACGTGGAAAACATCAAAGCACACACGATGGAAATCATTGATGTTTGCCTCTTGGGGCCCTTGTGGGGGTCCTCTTGGAGCGCTCTCGGGGCTTCTTTGGGGGCTCTTCGGCTGTCTTGGGGGCATAATGGGCCATCTTGGCGGCCTTCGTGGCTTCCCAGGTCCGTCTTGGAAGCCATCTTTGGGATTTTAGACGCCTTGGGGACAGCCGGGCACGTGTCTGGGCGCCGACAGAGCCTCGGGAAGAGGGGGCGGTGCGCACGACGAGGTGCGGCACGGAGGGGGGGGGCCCTTGGAAGATTACCGAAAGCCCTGCCAGGCAGCATTTGGCATTCTAGCACGCCTCATCGTGCCATGGGGGCACGGTGGCGGACATATGTTTATCTATTCTCGTGCATTCGCGCTTGGGGGCCGCGTGGTCCGGTAGGGCGTGCTGTCACGGATGTCTACGATCTGCGCTAGGCTGCTATGCAGTCGGCCGCCCACTCCCCTGTTGGAGAAGCCTTGTCCCTAAACTGTGAAGGGTATGCAATGTTTGTTTTTTGGTTGTTGTGTGTGGGAGGCCCGAAGTGTGGCGGAGGATGGGGAGGAAGTGGGTGGGGGGAGTGGCAAGCGGATGAGGAGTAAATTCAGTACACGCCGCGAACTGTACGCGTGGTGGTTGCCGCAGCCCTCCATGTTCGTTGCTACTGGCACACCGCGATGTCTTCCACCGCTGATTTTTAAAGCGGTCATTCAGATAGCATACTGCAGTTCACGAACTCAGCATCTACAGTATTGTTTGATCGAGTCTTGCCTGTACATGTCGCCAGACTGCACAGAGATCATACGAGACCAGACTCGTCATCTACGGTAGCAGGCGCGCTGCAACCTTTTCTTCTTGCATCGAAGTTCGAGGATTTAGTTTTTAGTGGACGGTTTCTGCATTGTCTGGGCTTCGGGTGGATCTTCAGGGAACTGTGCACGCTTCCTTGGACCACCATCATCATCACGGTCACGGACAAACAGATCATGCTCGTCATCATCGTTCAGGACGTCCACAATGTAGTCATGATCGATGACTGTGTGTGTGGATAATCTTTCTTACCTACCTCCCCCTCTCCTCATGTCATGTGATTGACTCTCGCTGAGACTGCGAAGGCCTTACGGCCGGTGCTGTTGACCCTGACTGGCGACGACGACTACGACGATGAGCGCTCTCGGGGGCCTCTTGGGGGTAATACCTCGTAGAGCTCTTCGGCAACGATGAGCTAGAGGAATTCCGGCGCGGGGTGGAGCTAGTTGACTCGCCCGGCCCGGGCGGACAATGTGACAACTTGAGGTCGGTTTTCTTATACTTTAAAGAATATTCAACCAGACATTTTGGGAACCAGTATTTTTCTAACGCGTAGTTGGTTATGCCGCGTCTGTCTGTGAAATTATCAGGTCCTTAGCTGCAGTATTTATCTCAAAAGACGCTGAGTAACCGATTCCGTATAAAACCGAAGAAATACATTCTTCGAGTTGTAAAGCTGGTGTTCAAGAAAGCTTTCTTCTCGTATTCGGAGCACTGATACGCGTGTCAAGAGCTCTACGAGGGTCCCCGCAATAACCTGGTTGACGGCTTACCGCTGGCTCGAACACGTTGGCGGGCTAGTTGTCTCGAACAATCCCGACGGAAGTTTTGCATAATCTTGGTCGGTTAAGCATTATTTTCTCGAAACTTAACGATTCGTTAGAGTTCTGATCTATTTCCACCCATCTTTGATCTTAGCCCCGGTCGCCATCTGAATCTCAGGTGGATCGAGTGGATACTACTAGCAAAAAACACTCAGGCGGGATCGGGTGTTGAGTGTCATCTTGGCAGGTGCTGTCGGTTTTCTTAACTTAACTCGAGCTGCAGATGAGCTACAGAGCTGTTCGGCACAGCAATCGACAGGAAATGATCAGGAGCGCCAGTCGAAAGTATCTAGGCGGCTGAGATCGGTCTTCTACCAGAGCTCGGACCAAAAAACTACTCGTACTCTGCTAATTCTTTAAGAGATGATGTTAGTTTTCTCTGTTCCATTCGAGCTGTAGGCTGGCTACGGAGCTGGGAAGCACACCTTCGAACAAGAAATCGGGCACATTCGCCTACAGTATCGAGACGTCTGAAATCGGCCTGCAAGCAGAGCTGCGACCGACAAATTATTCGCATTGTAAATGTGTTTCGACAGACGATGCGCCTTTGTTCAAGTCAATTCCAATTTTAGGTCTGCTACGGAGCTGAGATGCACGCCGACCGGCAGGAAATGCTGAGGAGCGCCAGTCTCAAGTATCTAGACGCCTGGGATCGGCCTGCTACCAGGGATGCGAACAAATAATTGTTTGCACACTTTCATTTTACAAGAGACGGTGCCGGTATTCTCTACTTAATTCGAATTGTAGGCAATCTAGGGAGCTGGGAAGCACACCGTTCAACAGCAAATTATCATACACATTCGCTTACAGTATCGCGACGTCTGAGATTGGTCTGCTACTAGGTGGTACAATTGAACAAACTACTCGCACTCTGCTTTTTTTCTGAGAGATGATGTTTGTTTTTGTATTGAACTCCAACTGCAGGCTAGCTACGGAGCTCATATATACACTGATCGACAAAGAAGCTCAGAAGCGCTAGTCTAAAGCGTTGAGACGGCTGATACTGGTCTGCTACCAGAGCTGCGACTAAACAACTGATTGCGCTTTTCAAAGTTTAAATCGGCGGTTGGTTTTCCCCACGTAGTTCGAGCTGTAGGCAAACTACAGAGCTGGGAAGCAGACGATTCGATCGGAAATGATCACGAGCGCTAGTCTGCAGTATCGAGACGTCTGAGATCGGTATGCTACCAGAGTTGCGACCAATGTTCAGCTTATGTCGTGTACTTTCTTGCGTGGGTGTTTTTTCTCAAGTGAGCTCGAGCTGTGGACAAGTAAGGAACTGTCAAGCACATTTCTATGACATCGCACAACCCCTTCGTGTGCGCTGAATGCGGGATTCCCGCGCTCGCATGCCATTCATACATATATACATACATATATACATACATACATACATACATACATACATACATACATACATACATACATACATACATACATACATACATACATATATAGCCCTCCGAAACCAAGAAACCCCCATTCTCATGATTATATATGAATTTATGTATGATTCCTACGATTTTCGGACTCAATTTTGACGCTCTTTTTTGGAAGACTTTTTTGGGCTCAAGTTCGGAACGATGTTCACCCACTGCAAGCGCAGCCGTTTCCACCAGCCCCAGAAATGGCTTGGCTCCTGGTGGTCGGTGGCGGCGCTGCACTGCCTGGTGCGCAGCTCTGCTGAGGAGGAGGAGGCTCCGGTGTCCCTCCGTGTCCAACACAACACCCAGTACTCAACAGCCTCTTTCTCCAACACAACACCCGATACTCAACAGGCTCCCTCCCCAAGCTGAACTTGAAAATAACTTTCTACTCAACTCCCTGCGTCTCCAACACAACACCCATTACTCAACAGCTTCCTTCTCCAACACAACACCCGATACTCAACGGGCTCCCTCCCCAAGCTGAATTTGAAAAAAACATTCTACTCAATTCCCTCCGTCTCCACCACACCACCCAGTACTCAACAGACTCCTTATCCAACACAACACCCGATTTTCAACAGGCTCCCTCCCCAAGCTGAACTTGAAAATAACCTTCTACTCAACTCCCTCCGTCTCCACCACACCACCCAGTACTCAACAGCCTCCTTCTCCAACACAACACCCGACACTCAACAGGCCCCTTCCCCAAGCTGAACTTGAAAATAACCTTCTACTCAACTCCCTCCGTTTCCAACACAACACCCAGTATTCAACAGCCTCTTTCTCCAACGCAACACCCGACACTCAACAGGTTCCCTCCCCAAGTCTAACTTGAAAAAAACCTTCTACTCAACTCCCTCCGTCTCCAACACAACACCCAGTACTCAACAGCCTCCTTATCCAACACAACACCCGATACTCAACAGGCTCCCTCCCCAAGTTGAACTTGAAAATAACCTTCTACTCAACTCCCTCCGTCTCCACCACACCACCCAGTACTCAACGGCCTCCTTCTCCAACACAACACCCGATACTCAACAGGCTCCCTCCCCAAGCTGAACTTGAAAATAACCTTGTACTCAACTCCCTCCGTCTCCAACACAACACCCAGTACTCAACAGCCTCCTTCTCCAACGCGACACCCGATACACAACAGGCTCCCTCCGTCTCCAACACACACAAGTACTCCAGATCCAACCACCACAACACGACGCGACACCCGAAACTCCAACCGCACCCGCCCCCCTTTTTTCTTGGCATCTTCCAAGAAAAGGGGGGTTCATGGTGGGTGCTGAGGCCTATATATATATGTGGCAAGGAAGCTCTACGACTTCCCGACGGTAACCAAGAGTGACGGTTTCCGCCGGCTTCCAGTACCTCGTAAAGCTCTTCGGCAACGATGAGCTCGAGGAATTCCGGCGCGGGGTGAAGCCAGTTGACTCGCCAGGCCCAGGCGGACAATGTGACAACTTGGGGTCGGCTTTTACCTAACAGCGAATATTGATAGGCTTCTGGTGGGGTCAAAAAAGAGAGCATCTTGACGCCCCAGGGGGGTTCGGGCGGGACCCAGACAAAACCGGACAAAAGGGTCAGCCCCAGGAATCCCACAGAATCTTTAGGAATTCTTCAGAATCCTTAGGAGTCCATTCCCAAAACGTAATTTCCAGCCCACAGTTTGAATATCCGGAGCAAGCTGTAAGCCACTTCGTGTTTTTCGTGTTCCCAGAACACCACTCCCAGGCCACATTTTGAATGCCCAGAGCCAACTGTAGGCCACTCTTCATGTTCCCAGAACACAATTCTCAGGCCACATTTTGAATGCCCGGGGCCAACTGTAGGCAACTTCGTGATCTTCGTGTTCCCAGAACACCGCTCGTGTACCATATTTTGATTGCGCGGGGCCAACTGTGGGCCACTTCGTGTTCTTCGTGTTCCCAGAACACCGCTCGTGTACCATATTTTGATTGCGCGGGGCCAACTGTGGGCCACATCGTGATCTTCGTGTTCCCAGAACACCAGTCCTGTACCATATTTTGATTGCCCGGAGCCAACTGTGGGCCACTGCGTGCTCTTCGTATTCCCAGAACACCACTCCTGTACTATATTTTAATTGCCCGGAGCCAACTGTGGGCCACTTCGTGATCTTCGTGTTCCCAGAACACCAGTCCTGTGCCATATTTTGAATGCCCGAGCTGAGGCAGGCTGAGGCCGAGGCAGGGTGAGGCCGAGGCAGGCTGAGGCTGAGGCTGACGCACGCCGAGGCAGGCTGAGGCTGAGGCTGCTGAGTTGGGAGTTTCGGAGGTCGTCTGGAGGCCATCGTCGGCGTCATGGGTCGGTATTCTGGCTTCGCGTGGCCCTTTTGGAACGTCTGGACGCGTTCTTGGTGCCCTCTTAGGCCGTTTTGGGGCCTCCTACACCCCCCCCGGACGCGCGTTGTCACGGGTCGTCCGGGTCCAAGGGGGGGAGTCATTCTCCCGGTTTGGGGTCCCTGTGGGGGGACTATGGGGGGGGGGGAAACAATCTCACATGCCTAGAGACCCACAAGGGGTCGGCGGATGACGGGAAACGTCTTCGAGGAACGCGAAGCGAGCTGGACGTTTTGGCTGAATCCTCCTCGTATCAGTAAGAGATCTCTTAACTATAGGGAGTGGCGGGGCGCACGGTGTTGAGGCCTAGCGGATTCCTCGGGATGGCGATTTTACGTGAGACATCTTCGCAACAATTAGATATTCGCGACATCGCGTTTAACAAAAAACAAGCGTTTCGCTGGAGACATCCTCGAAAAGTTGATGACAGCGAAATGTCGCCGTCTGTGAAAATTTGCGTTTCGCGTGGGACATCCTCGAACAAATGAAAAATTACGACTGAAGTCTTTAACTAATTCTTATGTTCCGAATTGCGATTTCGCTAGGGACATCCTCAGAAAATGAGCGGCAACACGGCGGACCAGTGGGAGGGTACACATGGGAGGGGAGCCGCCCCACATTACAGCGACACGGCGGGGGAGGGCCCCTCCTCCTCTTCCACCCTGGGCCCCCCAAGGAGATAGTTTTTCTTCCCCCGGGCCAGGGGGGGTGAGATGGTGAGGTGTCAGATGTGGTGCGGGCGCGCGTTGCTTACGTATCTCCCTCACTCTGTTACTCTCTTTCCTGCTCTTTGCCTTCCCCTATTTTATCTCTCTCTCTTTCTCCCTCCCCCTCCCGTTTTTTCCCTCTCTCCTCTTCTCCCTCTCGCGTTCCTTTCCCTGTCACTGCCCGCCACTGCCGCCCCCCCGCCCCCTCCTCCGCTCCGCCTTGCGCCCCTCTTC